CCTGTTGTACTGAGTTTGGTTTAATTTTCTGTATATTAAAAACAAGAGAAATGTGTAGCAGCCTCCTCAAGGCTAGCTGACAGTAACAGCAATAGGGAAGGAGGGGCAGCACTATTCTATGCTCCAAACTGCCAAAGACTTCTTGAGTCACTCTGACAGTTTCTCTGGCATGTTGGTGAAAAATTAAAGTCATTGGAACGTTATGATGGAAGAACTGTTTAAATATCTGAGTTATGGACCTCAGAGTAGGAAAAATACTGAGCTAGTTTATTGCAAAAGATTAGGAACCTTGGTTTGTTTCAATATAAAACATAACATAAAATGAAGTTATCAAAATTCTGTAAATTTACCGAGGAATGAGTTAGTTTTTAATTTCATTAAGATTATGAGATGGAAATTGTACAACTAAAATAAAATGAAAGTACAAATAATAGGGAAATGTTTATCCTGGTAAAAAGCAGCCCCTTGTTCTTTACTTTGCTTTGTACCGAAGATCTGGACCCGGGGCCAATGGGAGGCATGGACTCTGTTGAAGTTTTAAACAGCTGGATCTGATTTGAAGGACTATAGTGTCTTCTACAACATCTTTAAATATCTTAAACATTCTTCTTCCTCTGACTTTAATTGCTCAACATGTGGAGCATGAACAGACTGATCGGCTTCGTTCACTTCCTGTGCCACTATTCCCAAACTCCACACCTGTTGAGGGAGACTACATCTGAAACTGCAAAGAAAATCGATGTCATTGACTGGAGAAATGGAGATCAATGGATCAAGCACATTAAATTGACAACATGAAATTCAATCAAATTTGAGTTTATTTTTTGGAGTCCTGGTAGTGATGCATATTTTGTTACTTATTTGTTGTTCAATTTTCTGACAAGAACTTCTATGACTTTTTGGTCCAGGTACAAAGTCTGAACCTTCTGTTCAGATTCTTTCAGGAACAATCCAACACCTGATTTAGGCAACCAGGCTAGAAAACATGGAACCAGAGGCAGAGCTTCAGCTGACGTCTCTGATCTGCCCTCTGCCACCTCCATCTCGCTCCGCTTGAACTTCCAGATGTGAAGTATTTGCAGCTGTAGGATTAGCACTAATTGCATCCAATTTAAATTTGAGGGGCTGATAAGTGCACCTCCACCTCTCAATGCTGAGGCTTATTAGAGAGAAGTTTGTGGTCATGAGTAAGACTCCACCAGGCCATACTCTGCCTCACTTGGACATGCAAGGAGACTCAATAAGGAAGTGGCAAGGACAAACTATATCCTTGCATTCCTAATAATATATTAATGTCATATCATCTGGCTTTAGGTCTCGTACTTTGGGATGGTAATGCAGCCTGTGTGAATGCTGCAGAGCTCATTATCCGCTGCTCGATCAGATCAGCAATCGCTTTTCATCTTCTGCTTGGCTTTGAGAATTAATCTTTGTCCCGTATCATTAAGGAAAAGGCAAATCTCTCGATTCCACTGGAACTGCTCAAAAATACACAGTACTTCTCCATGTTTGGCCTTTCTGAATCCCCACTCTGTCACGTCGGTATTCCACCCCACACAGCTGCTCTAAACCTGTCAGGAAGCCCCTTAATGGGCAGGACCACCATCTCATTGGCAGTTATGATTCGTGACATGTTCATTGATAATATTCTCATTTTCTGTCATATGTAACTCAAATTTCTTTATTTCCTCGTGCAAGTTGGGTAATGGTTTGCATTCTGAGTCAAGAGGGAACTGAGCGTGTTAAAGCACAAATGTGAGTTACTGTGGGATGCAAATGGAGGCACAGTTCGATGGAGGCCGTTGATTTAAATGTGTTGTTGGGTTTTTTGCACATTTAAAATTCACAGCCACATCTGAGTCTCTCATATTTTCCTTCCTGAGGATGCATATATTTTCGTATGCATACATCGGTATAGGAGTGGAGCCCTTTTCAGATGTGAAGCCTGCTCGAGAGATTCTATAATTGTATGTAATTTTTGCTGTCAAAAACCCATGAATGCAAATCCTCCCCAAAAAAGTTTCAAGTCTCTTATACTGTGACATGCAGATGATTTTTTTAAAAAATTGAATAAAAGACGCTTTTCTTTCACCACTCAAGTTGTCGTGTTTTGGATTTGCCCCATGCATTGGCTGAAAGGCGTGATTTATGTGTCACTGCAGAAGCTCTCTTTGCTGAAGACTAGATTATTATTATTTTAATAAATAGAAAGTACAAAAAAGTAAATCTGAAGCAAAAATTCTGTTTGCAATTTAGCAGCTTTGACTCGTGTCTTCCTTGAGGCAGTTGTAACATTTGTAGAAACCACAGTTGGTCTTTAATCCTCCATCTTTAATTGCTGAATAGTAACAACGTTATTATTTTTTTCAAAGTGGAGCAGTTCCAGTTTGATCAGATATGTGTACATGTGTGTGCTATGCTAACTGTAGTGCGGGCTTGAACAAAGAAACTTGAATGATAAATGAGGAAGCAAAGACCAAAAACACAAGCAATTTGTGTTCCTACAAGAGCCACCCTAGTTTAGAAAAAAAGAAAAAAGAAACATCTAAGTGAAATCAATGGTAGACAACATGAACACCTGATTAAATTCATCCATCTGAGACGGCGTGTCACAGCATAAGCTTGACCTTTGTTTTGAGCTACAGACGTGTTCTCTAGTAAATCCTGTGTTCTGTGCTGGTGGTTTTATGTAGGAGGAATTCTGTGACAAATGGACCCAAAGTCACCACAATGACAAATATGCAGCGTTTTCTACTTTGTTCTGTATGGTCCATGATAACCATGAAAGATGCACAGGTACTGTAACACTTTAACAAATAGATTCGTATTCATTTATTTTCATTGCCTGTTGAATCTGATGCTTTCACTGATTACAAACAGTGTGGGCTGTGTAAGAATAGTGAGTTTAAATTTCCTCGCTTTTTTTCTAGCCAATCAGAAAGCAAAGTAATGGAAACACACAGAGGAATCCAAAATACAGAAGACAACACAACTGCCCTGGAGGTGCAGACATTTGCTGGACGTTGGAGATTCTTTTTGTGTCGTTTTTAGCTGTTAAAAATAGCCCTCAAACTTTTGTCATTTCTTCTTCCTTGTGTGCCATCTTTGTTTATTCTGAAGTCATGTTTGATCTCGAGAAGTTTTGTTCGTGAGTGAAATCTCTCCCTGTGTGTTGTGTTGTGTTATGTTGTGTAAGTTGTGTGGCTGTACACTGCACACTATTAAATCTATGATTTTTATCATGGCTTTTAATCATTATTTTTAAATCTTGCCATGCAAACCAGGCATTAGGCAAAGAAGAAAGTAAAACAAGGAAAATAATCTTAGTAAAATATATAATTTTGATTATCCAAACTGACCTAAAACATGAAAATATTCTCAAAGGAAAAGCAGAAAAAGTGACGTATCTATGTAAACAATGCATCTGTTTTCAAACGTATGCCTGTATTTGTGGCTGCATTAAGATGCTGTGTGCATTACCATGAATTGAGCTACAAACAGGAGTAAAACAATATCACAAAATTTGAAATTTAAAGTGAGAAAATTATGAATATGCAAATTATAGTATGACATCATGAAGTGACATTTTGTGCCTGGTTTAGCATGCTCCAGTTATATTCTCCTGGGAAGAGTTGGCAGGACCAGCAGTTATTTGGTATTCTCCAGGCAGGATGCCCGTTGCACCACACACACACACACACACACACGCACACACACCCCCACACACACCCCACACACACACCCCCACACACACCCCCACACACACACACACACACACACACACCCACACACACACACACACACACACACACACACACACACACACACACACACACACACACGCACGCACGCACGCACACACACACACGCACACACACACACCCATGTTAAAAAAAACTCCATGGTTGTGACAAAAAAAACAAAAGCAGAAACAAAAGCAGAGATGCAGACGTTCATGTTCACACAGTAATTGGGTTTTACTACATGTCTAAGATATTAGCTTAGACCACCATTAGCTAATTCAATTTACATAATGAAACACAGACCATGCTGACCATGCTGTCTGTTCCCTTTACTGTTGCATTTAAAACTTTAATTTTATTATTCTGTTAGAGCAAGAAAGATGTTGTGCAGCAGCGGCAAATGTGATTCTAAGAAACCAAAATCAAGCAACAATGTTATTCTATAAGTGTTCACCATATTCACTTATTCACTTAATATTTTTTCATACATTTTAACTTAAACTATGTGGGCAATAATACATAAAAATCACAGTTTGGTGAACTCATGACTTTTAAAATCACATTATATTGAGTATTCACACATTCATTCTGTATGAATGGGAAATTAAACAGACTTACTTACATAAAGGGACACTGAAGAAAAAAAAAAACTTTTTTGCCCACACAAGTTTTCCTTTTTTTTCTTCAGTCATAGTTACCTGGATGAAATGGAAAAGTTTGTTTCAGTCTGAAATTTTACAACACTTTTTTGATTGGAATAAATGGCTATAAAACTTTTCGGCAGAAAGATTTTTCCTTTTTTCATTTTAAGTGAGTTCAGGCTTAGCCTGAGTGGAGTTAAGCAGCCGACATAGGAATCATTCATACTGTCATTTACAGCATAGAGGTTAAACAAAATAAATGCAAGCCATGTGGGAAGATAATCCTAACATCTAATCCAATAAATGAGAAAAGGACACATAAAAACAGGCTAATGACTGCATCTTTCCAGGTCATTGTTCAACCTAAATTAGACTCTATATCCTATTACCACCTAAATAGGTCCTGAAGACACGTCTCACTTCAAATCCTTTCCCTGTGAGCCTGAGTCGTGACAGGCACTTTAAATTGATATGCTTTGTCTGCTTGTGGTTTTGCCCTCTGAGAGACTTAAGGCAGCATCAACTGCTTTCTGCCGCCGACTAATTGGCTGTTTTGCAAACACGGCGAGACGCAGGTTCATGATCAACCGTGTTGTGTTTCCTTGTGGTCCCACAGAGAGCAGCGTCCTGCAGAGTCCCGTTTTCACCAAGCAGCCAGGCAGCATCGTGTACCCCGTGGAGACGGTGGGGACCAACAGGGAGGTGGTGTTCAGCTGCGAGGCCCAGGGAAACCCACCTCCTACGTACCGGTGAGTCTCACACAGGGGCGCCTCGGATCCTCCGTCATCACTGGCTCTCCTGACGCTCCAAACATCAACACACTGCTCACAAATGTCTCTTTTTTTGCATTTGTTCATCTCTATATAGCAATAAAAAGAAACTAATGGGAAATGAAGCAGTCACAAAACCTGCAGCAGACTCAGACAGTGTCTGAACTCCTCAGGCTGGCAGACAGATCACGTCTTTACCCATTAACTGCTGCCCAACACTTTACAGCTTTTCTTTTCCCGTCAAAACTAAACTCGATGACCTTGCAAGTCTGTTTTTTTTTTTTTTACGACTAAGGCTTGACAAAGCAATAAGTTTATCTGAGAAAGACATTTTAGAAACACTGCTGCAAAAGAATGCTTGTACTTTTTTCATGTTTTGCCACATTGTGACCTCAAACATCAACACATTAAAATGAAGATGAGGATCATTTGTGAGCACTGGGAGAATGCACATGCTAAAGTTAGCAATGCTAAAATTAGCATTTACTTTTCTGTTGTTTAAACAGTCTGGATTTTTTTGGAATGGATATTCTAAACTGAATAGAAATTCTTTAAAACAGTTTAGATTCGCGAGTTCTTCTAATTTTAAAAGTTGTAAAAACACGTTTTGTTTTTTTAAACTTTTGAACATTTTTGAAAACAAAAGCATAGAAACAAAATATCTTCAAGTCAAACCTACTTCAGCTGAGCTATTTGACACTGATTATAGGTTGTTCTGAGACAGTGTGTAACTCATAAAACAAATTCCTAAACAAATCCTACTTTTAGTTTTCAATCCAGTATCAGCTCCTTCGGCGTGGGAAACAGTGTGCTTAACAATTTGGCTGAAAAGGAAATGCAGATTCTTATAATTGGTTAATAACCAATTTTTCAGCATTGACAAGCTGGAAAATATGCATATATTGTTTCAAATTACTCAAACCAAAGCCATTCAGACCAGAGCTGAAGTTCTTGAAAATGATTACACATCATGCAATAAGAAGCGGAGTAAGCCAACTTAGTCAAGCTATTATTAGTTATTCCACCTTATCTATGGATTAAATTATTGAGAACCCTCAAAAGTCACAAAGTGTCTTGACTTTTAGGCAAGTTTTGAGTTGGTGTATCAATACATGATGGTTCACATGAGGAATAGGAACATTTGCCAGAGCAGAAACAGGAAAAAAAACAATACATTTCTGAGAACATAGTGATTTATCTAACTAAATCCTGGAACAGATTTAGTTAGTTATGATTATCTGCAGAGTGGACGACAGTTATCACTGCAATGTATGTTGCTTGGCTTCTGGACAAACATTTCCAAACCTCTTAATATGGAAAGTCTGAGATGTTTGGTCGTTTTAATTATCTCTTCCTCTGTCTCTCTTCATCTGTCTTTTTTAATATCTCCTTTTTTATATTTATCTCATTTTTTATCTGTTTCTGCCTCCACCTTTCAGTCTTTATCTGCTCCATCTTTCTCTGTCTGTCTCTTGTCCAGTATGTATTTACTTACCAGGCTCAGTCTTGTACAGCCAGGGGGATTTTTCCCCCCGGCAGTGAAGCCAGGTCAAATTTGGCTGGAGTGCTGCGTGTCCGGTGGAGGGCATGAAGCAGTTGTTCTGTATAGCTATACTTTCACTGTATGTATCAGAATGAGCACAACTCCTGCAGCTACTCACTCCAGAGAAGGACATAGTAAGGATAGATCTATCATAATTTGAACACGCACTGATACTACATGCTGTGATCTTCCTGGGGGGCGGGGCTACACTCATTCAACCTTTTTACCTTCTTTCTTTTCGGCTCAGGGAAGTTGAGTTAAGTAAGATGATATTAATATTTACAGCTAAATGTGTTATTACAGACCTACATGTTCAAATTGGAAGGAAATATTAGCAAGTTACATTTTGCAGTTGATTTGGGGAGGTGGACATTGTTATCATTAGGGATAAATGTGTGAGGGTTTTTAAGAACATCTTGCGGGTTAAATTTAAGTGACTGAAACCTCCAGGATCCCTGAATGTCGGAGCCATTTCCCCAGTAATTAGATTAGGTTTGTATGGTTCTCATTAGCATAAGCTTCCTCAATTCTTTTTGCTTTACTGTGGAGCTAATGGCTGCAAAGCAGAAAAACTGTCCATGTGCCGTAATATCATGCAGAGTATATTTTAATTATGCCCTTGGATTCAGCCTTCCATTCAGCGTGAATGAAAACGCTCTGGGCTTTGTTTCCTGATGAGGCAAACAAGACAGTCTTGGCTTGTTAGCTGCAGCTCATAAAAAGACTTACACGTCCTCTCGAATCATGCCTGACCCTATCAGGATCAGATAAATGCATCTTGTGAATTGTGTTTGTGATGATTTGGATTTTTTTTTTTTACCCCCTGCTGAAAACATGTGTTGTGTGTTTGCAGCGTGCGAGCGCATGTTAAGCGCCGCATAAATGCAGCCAGTTCATGGTCTTTCTTCTCTCTATTCCTCCCTAACATGGACTGAATGCATGCTGTCTTGCAGCTTTGTAGTGAGGTAAAGTTCAAGTCAGTCATGTTTGCTTTCAGAAATGACCGGGGTGAGATTTGAAAGGATTAGTACGCTTATTGCTCGGGACTTAGCCAGCTTACGGGTTGACCTCATCAGTGGTTTCCTTTCAGGGTGGCCTTCTGCTGCTGCTGCCTCCCAAACATGTTACAACAAGCAAATGAGAGTGAAGTCACACTCAGCTTTCGTTGATCGTCCTCATTCACCAGGAAGCTGTGACAAAGCTCTTCTCAAAAGAGATTAACCAGAATTTTCACACACCTGTCGTCAGTTAAAGAAAACCTGAGTAAATATGAGAAGCAGATTTAAAATTATTTAATTAAATTTTTTTTTTTCTATTTCATTTTTATTGGTTTCACAAGCCATGTAACAGTTAACATGGACATGGTTTAATCTTTGGCATTTATGGTAAAAAAACAAGAAGAAGAAAAAACACAAAACTAATTAATCAATAGGAGAAAAAGAACAAAAATATATCAAACCTCTGGGGAATGAGATAATTATTTGCATAGAAAATCTGATTTTACTGGTTTTATTTAGACAATGTGTTCAATCCAAACCTACAGAGATGTTTTCTTCTCCCAAACATGCACCATGTCCATCCAGTTCTCCTTATTTGGTGTTTCTTCCTTTGAACCATTTTCTCATTATTTCTCCTTTTTGATGCACTGGGCCAGCCCAATGGAAACTGTGACTAAGTGTTTTCCATAGATACTTAAGTGTGATTAACAACATCTCCACCAGGACAGCAAAACAATTCCCATTAATAAACCATGGATCACTATTGAGCTGGAGCAACTGATACAGAAGACAAAAAGAGCAAACAGAGGGAGACAGGCAATTGTAGATGATTTAATAAAAGACATTTAAAGTGAAGATCAGAAACAGCAGTAAAAGCGACGGGAGGTCAGTGATGAAGATCACAGGCTTCAGGCAGGAGGAGGATCAGACCAACTTGTCTTCATCTGGACATTGAAGACAAGTTGATGCCTTAAGAGTCGGCTGGACTAAAGATCTCAGTATGTGAGATGAAAAGCTTGTATGTCTGACTAGTTGGTCAGCAGCAGAGGAACCTCACAGAGGATTGTCATTCATTTTCACTCTGTACACCTCTGACTTCCAGGGAATTCAGACTTCCTGTCATCTGCAGAAATACTCTGATAACTGCAGATATGGCAGCACACCTGCTTGCACATGTCGCTCTGCTTCTAGTTGAAGTAGTTCATATAAGGCAGCTGCCATCCGGCCTCTTGCTGCCATCGGGATCCAGTCATGGATGGAATTTCAACCACATCAATGCGTTCTGCTGGATTACACAAAATGACTGGCCAGATCTGTCCACCGTCAAGCTCCTTTACTCTCATCATATTTAGTTGTTGGTATGATTAAATGTCATAAGGACACACAGAATGTGTAGAAAAACCAGTGGAGGATTAAACCCGGAGAGAACATGTGTTGTTAAATAAGTCTCCTCACATTAATCAGATTTACAAACCAGATCATTTGTTTTTCATTAGAGAAGTAAGCATCAAAATAAAATAAAAAAATTAATGAAAATTTTAATTTTTAACATCAAACACTTGAAGAATGTGTAAATAAAAATGAATAGAATCACAAAAATATTTTCTTCTAAAAAGCAAAACTCCAGACCTCAGTTCAATGGACAATTTTGAGAAGGCTTTGTGAGCATTCACACCGGTCCTGTTTAGTTCACTTTATTCAAACTTTAGTTCATTTTGTCTATTAAATACATATGTGAACTCCAAAGGGGCCGAAGGACCACTCCAAAAGCAGGAAGTGGACTATAGTGCAGGGAATTCTGGGTAATTACAACCAAAGCAGGAGAGAGGGTCTAGCACTGGTTGGAGAAATGACTCACGGTTTTTTATTATACATGATTCATAAACCACAGCGGGTCTGTCAGTAAGACCAGCCATGTCCTGTGATCTGGAACAAGTGTGGAACAATCTGGTGTCACCTCTGACCCCAACCTGATCTGCTGGATCTCCAGTACTTCCTGTACTTCCAAATCTACAAAGTGTTTGCTATTGTATTGTAATTTTGACACAATTCTTTTCATTTCTGCCTTTCCATCTCTCTTCTTTTTTTATGAGTATAATTCATTTTGATTAGATGGATGCAGTGTTAGCAATTTCTTCTGCTGCAGTGGAGACTTGAGAGAACCACAAACTAATCCTCGCTGCTTGACGTCCTCGTTTCGCCTCGTTTTGCAAAAAAATCTGCCATAAGCAGATTAACGCCTCAAACTCAGGGTGTAAGCTTTCTGTTTGTAATGATTTTTGTCAGATGATGAATTCAAAGACCTTTGCAGGAAAAAAAAACTGAGAAGAAATAGTTAAATTATTCTACAAGAATCACCAACACAGCTCTAAATCAGGGCAGATGGCTCACAACATCCTGCTCTCAGAGTCAGAGTGGGATTTTTTTGTTGTTGTACT